TTTTTTTTAAATAATATCATAAATTGAACTGAAAGCATCTTGTCAAAGCAGTATGATTTGCAGTGACAGATCACAAAAATGCATTTCTGACTCCACTAATTAATTATCTCATTTACTGAAAACTAATTTAAAATTAGTCTTGGTGGAATCCTTTCCATTATTTTTATTATTTCGTTACAAAAACTAGTCCAAATATCTGTCTGTGACCAGGAAGTCTACATAGTTCTGTCTCACACTGACAGTCACGTAGCACAGATAAGGATGTACCTTCTATACATAGTTACAATCTGATATACTAAAACAGCACACAATGATAAGCAGAGCATATCAGGACACAAGGAAAGTCTCAGCAAAAATGTCTTTTTTTTCCCATGTGCACATCTTTAAGCCTGAAATGATGGTCTGTATGGGGAAGTTGTTTCACCTGATTATACCTCAGGTGAGATCAGGTGAGACTGGGAGACTGTGACCCACTGAACCCTGGTATTATTTAGTCATTTTCAAAATTATTGCACGACACTGCAGAGACTTATGCAAGGCATTGAGTGCATTTTGGAATTTTTATCTTATCACTGCTAAATACTTGACATTATTTGGCTTTGGACAAAGTACTTATTAGAATTGCACAAGTTTTTTTTTACTATTTAAATTGATTTTTAATTTTTTTAGTAGTTTTGTACTATTGGATGTTTGATTTAAACTGATAACAACTCTAAGTATGAGATTCGAGTTCCACAATTAATACATGGTAAACAACACCAAGAATATAATAAATTCCATTTTACCACCAAAAACAGAAAACGGGGAAATCATCATTTACCCCAGGTATAATACATTTGATGGGACTTTCCCTATCGAAATAAAGAGTTATTATCCCTTTATTCTTTTTCTAATTTTGAAAAAAAAAATCAGGCAATTATACAATTTTTCTTAGCAAAAAATCTTATTTAACTGCAGTCTGCCAAACTTTCCCATAGGGTTTCTACATTCCAATCTGTCTATTTTTCAATATATATCCACATTGCCCCATCAAAGCACCTTGGTTTCTGAAAACCTACTGGTTTTTTCACACAGCCTATAAATATTTCATGAGGCTGTATTGTTCCTTGGTCTGAGTCACAGCTGTCTGCAGTCTTAATTCATTCTATTATACAGACTTATTACAACTGAGTCTCACAAGACTTCAGCAGCAGCTGGGAGCTCTTTTTTTTCTTGGTGGATATTTTATTTTTTTTTTTCATTCTTCTTCTTTTTTTAAATATGGTTGGGGATGTGTAAGCCTTCTTGTAGTGTGGTGCCACCAGAAAGAAGACCAAACATACAGTCTGTGTCTCCATTCCCATAGATAGCATTGGTCTACGGACATTGACCCAACTCTGCAGGGACTCTCGCTAAGTGTAATCAGCTTAACCGAATGACTGCTTCCTCTTGCTACCAATGTACTCGTATAATCACCAGCTTTTCTGTATTCTACTTAATGCCAGGAGGAGGCGTGTCATACAGTTAAGCTGATTGCAGTCAGCGAGAGTCTCTGCAGAGTTGGGTCCATCCATGTAGATCAATGGTGTCTATGGGAGTGAGACCTAATTCATGGGACTGAGTTCATATATGCTTGGTCTTTATTTCTAGATGTACATTTTGGACTACTTCAATTCAGGATAATTCCTTACTAGTCCACTAAAATAAAATACTTTGTGGTCTTAAACATTAACGGTCTTCTTTTTAATAAAACGGACCATATGTTTAATTTGTGTAGGCTATAACAGAGTAAAAAGTTAAAATAGACAAAACAGTTAAGACCATCTTTCCATCTGAAATTTTTCTGTGAAATTGGCCTCAGCTGCAAGCAACACAGCAGTAAGATGGTCTGTTAATTTGCTAAGTAAAACAGAACCACAGTAAGTTCAAGACATAAGTGTGTCATGGAGACCCGTCTCAGGTGTGCAATACTGGGTATTGCTCACCTGCCAGGTAAAACTGCAGGTAAGTCACACTTCCAGTTCACTGTATTGCCTGGAGATTACATGAACACATATCATATATAATACCTGTTCACCTGACTTTAACTCACCTGTACAGGTATGACAACAGGTATGACATCACTTAAGATTGGCTGTCCAATTTTGTGTGGGACTTGCATGCATATCAAAGTGTACATACAAACCACAAGTACTCGTTTATCTTGTAAAGCACTTTAGATGTGGGACTGATAATAATTTTCATTGAGGTTGAAAAAAATACTCATCACAATGGTAATAGCATCTTTGTTTGAGATAAGTGCAGGGGTCCAGTTAAGAATCATGCAGCTAAAAATAAAGCAATACCTTGATAACAATGGCTAAGCTGGAGCCAAAGTTGTGCAGAATATGCAGTGGCACGCATACTGCAGTCATCATAATATAGAAAGCACTGAGAATAGATGGGCGCATTTCTAATGAAACTATCATTCAACATAGATCGATCCAACTTTGTAAGGACTATTGCTGAATCAGATTTAATTTAAAAGATAAATGTGCCTCCTCTTGTCACCAAAATACTTGTCACCAGCTTTTCTGTATTCTACTCAATGCCAGTTAAACTGATTGCATTCAACGAGAGTCCCCGCAGAGATGGATTGCGTACAATAGTTTTACTGGGAATGATCCCTCAGTCTAGATATACGTACATAAATATACCTCTGCTGACATTCCTAAGGCCTAGCTGTTACGATGTCTTTGCTTTCACAGTGACCTGGTTTGTGTTCCTGATGTCTCCTACCAAACAACTGGCTTGTACTGACTATTTGCGCATTTCATATAACTCCCCCCCCCCCCCCACGCACTCTCTCAGTGATCAGTAGTTGCAGACTGATAAATAGCACATCTTCAAAACTAAAATTTAATGAACGGCTGCTCAGATGGGTATGAAATGGCAGTAATTGCCATAGAAATGGATTTCACCTTTATTGTATGTATATTAATACAAACATGAATTAAATGTCCCCCCAAAATGTTCTGTTGGTAATTCTTCAAAATGCTGATTCAAAGGTTCTGGAAAGTTTACGGGATTTCTGTCTCTTTTTGTGAGTGTCTAAATATGAAAAAATAAAACATCAGTAACAGAAGTGGGGTATTTGAAATATGATAAGCAGCTACTCTACAAGCCAAGTGTACAGTTCATAGATGATGAATGTCTGGGACAAGGAATTATCTAACACCACAGACACTGTAGTGACAGCATAATACCCTCACTGTACTCAATACTCCTCTTTAGTGCCCCTGTCACACTTAAGTATGCACCTTTCATGTGACACTTAATTAAATTTAGATTTTTTTCTACTATCACTTTTGATAATCATAATGAAAGAAGGCTGAAAATATTTGGATTTTATATCATGTAGTGCTTCTAATCTTTTATCTTTTAGAATATACAGAAGCAAGGTGGGCACAAGAGCACTATATCTCAAATTATTGAAAAAGCCAAATAAAAATAATGCAAATTATAATGTTCTTGTCAAAACCATGATATATCTAACCTATATCACTAGGTATTAAAAAGTTCCAAAAAGGTTTTTTCTCTTATATTATGCAGGTATAAAAACAACAGCCAAATATCTTGATTTCTAGATAAATCTAAGTCTTTCATTCCTAAAATACATGTAGAAAGTTCTTTTAAGAGCTGTCCTGGACCCCCCCCCCCCTCTGCCCATAAGGCAGGCACCATTAACTGCAGATCTAAATGACTGTTTTCATTAAAGTTGGCCTGCAGAGTTTCCTTGTTGTGTCATTAATACACTCTCAGCTGACTGAAAAATGATGAATATCCTGCTTGGTGAAAAAAAAAAAACAGACTGCTTCTTCTCAGCTTGCATACACGGACTGGTACATTGGATCAGAAGATAGTGAGTCATGGGGGGAAATAATGAGAAAAAATAAAGAAAAGGGAACCTTAAAACCAGGCACAAAAGATTTTTTTCTGCAAAAGCAGCACAAATAAAAAGACCCCATCACTGCACTGCTTTTAGTTAAATGCAAAAGGCAACTTTATGATCTTCTCTAAATCTTCTCATTAAGAATTTGGATCACAGATATTGTAATTACTGCTTTATTAACTTTTAGTACTCTCAGAAAACAAAATTATTAGAAGCAGCACAGACAAAGTAATGTAATAATTATAAAAGCTGGATAAATTGCAATGTAATAATTATTGTTGTTAATATTATTATTATTAATATTCATGTGGTTATTATTATTATTATTATTATTATTATTATTATTATTAACTTGGAATAATCACTGTATATTATGGTTGCTAAATGTGGGTCAAAATTATCTTTTCAGTTCAAGTCTCGCTTATTTCTTGGCAAAGATATTCATCATATGTTTTTCGCTCCAACTATGTTATCCAGGGCAGTTTAGTGGTAACAGGAAGTTTGCTTCAGAATAATTTTCGAGAAAATTGTTATGCAGACATAATGCCAAATCTGATCTGATCTAACAAAAACTTTGACCAAACTTGCTATAAAATATTTGCAGTGACTGTGTCACAAACAGGTGTCACAGTGTTTTTCTCTGATCACACAAGGCCTTTCTCAAGGTGTGATATGGTAAATACAGAGGGCTAGTTTATAACATACAAGAAATATTGTTGTCCTAAAGGCATGTGTCTGTGTGTGGGTGTGTGGGAGGGGGGGCACCCAGCCTTGAACAAATATTTGTTCTCACCTCCAACTTTTTCCTTTCACATTATCTTTTCATATCAAAGTGAAATAACAAATCTACATTTGCACCTCTCAGCTCTCTGCAGAGTGAACTTGTAGGAATAGAAATGGCACACAGTTTTATAGAGAAAAAAAACTTCGACAGAACAAGTCATGTGACATGACTCTTATGTCAGTAAGATGTATGTGTTGTTTAAACTATCAGTGTAGGATCAGAGTTCATACTTTTCAAGGTCTTAGGACTGAAACAGGAATTTTATGAAAAAAAAAAGAGAAAATGTACTCCATAAATTCCCATTACCTTAATATCCTTGTTCCTGGTTGAGGCCCCCCTGTACCAGCCTGGAAAACAATACAAAATTCTGTTATGTAACACATATAGTGATATACCTGATACAATTCTTTTTGAACAAGGCCAAAGTACATTTCATTTTCTCAGATAAAAAGATTTATTATAGTGCTTGCTGTTAGAGGTGACAACATAGAGCATGGTTGTCTGTTTTATCTGTCCCACTTCTTTCTTTTTAACTGTTATCAAAACACACTCTGGACTAGAGATCAAAGCCCTTCAGTACAATGTGAAGTACTTCAGTCATTTGATCTTGTGTGCTCAGTAAACTGAGGGACACTGTTTGTCTTAGACAAGGAAGTTTGTCTCTTGATAAAAGCTGCAAAATCATTTAACACACAGGGTTTTTGTTTAGCTGTAAGAGACTTCCTCTGTGGATATGATGAAGGGGAGGGGGGATCACTTTATTTATATCGGGTACAATGCTTCACTCCACATTCTTCCTTTGCTTGTATATTCGAGAAGGATTGAAATTGTAGGGAGTGAAGCAGGGAACCTCTATAAATAGGGGTGACGGGTGGGGAGGGGAGGTCTCATGCAGAAAACTTGAGGCTAATATTAAGAAATCTCAAGTATACAAATTCAAACAGCAGCAGCAGACCTATTGAAAATGTTGCTTCAAAGGGTGCTATCTTTTAACTTTTTTGAAAAGAAGGTCCTTGTAATAAATGAAAATAAAATTGTTCCAAAAAATTATATCCTATGCAATCTGTCCCTAAATCTACACAATTAAATAAGTTAAATATTATCATACTGTTTTTATGATGTTCTTATTTCAGACTGTGCTGTGTTTTGCAGTTTTTTTCTTTGTTTACATAAAATAATCTGTTACCTGAACATTCTTCTAGAATCTGCACTGTCTCTCCTATCTCCAACGACAGTCCAAATCTCACGCACGAACCATCGAAGTTGTACACAGCTGGAAAGGAAAAAAGTTCAATAAATTATACCAAAGTTAGGGTAATTATTTATCTGACTTCAACTTGATTTTTTTTAGCGCAACTTTTTTTCCATACATGTCCTAACACTGACAAGTTTTTTATTTCTAACTGAAGACACCAACTCTCTTTATTATTGTCAAATAATTATCATTAATAAAAGATGCATAATTAACTGAGCTAAAAAGAAAACAGGCATTTTATGTCATATCTTTTTTCCAACAAACTTGCTAAAATGAAAAAAATTCATAACAGAAGCTTCAGTCAAGTTTATTATAGATTTTTTTTTACTATATACTGAATTATTTCAAATACAATATCTTGTAGTTTTAGCCAAAGGGACCTTTAAATAGGAAAAATAATCATAAAATTCACCATATTTCCAAAATCAGTCACATTCTATTCAGTTTTAGGCACTGGCAACACAGGAAACTTAACAAACTAAATCAGATAATTTATTTTAGACAAACAAAAACAAACAAAAAAACTGTCAATTCAGTGGTGCAATTTGTGTTATCGGACTTCCAACTAAAACAAGAACAAATATGACCCTAGAGAGTCACCAAGTACACCCTGTGTGTCACATATTAACTGGAAATGTCAGAGACACACTGATAGTGGAGCTCAGTTAGCAGGGACCAGTGACTTCCAGGGTGATCAAATCTGATCCAGATAACAGGTAATAACTAGTTCAACGCTACATAAACCTTCCACTTCTCCCCCCCTCCCTCTCCGCCCCCATGACAGTTCTTATCAAACTAGAACAATTGAATGGGATGTTATAATTCAGTGACATAGATATGTCAACTCTGGCATCCATTTGTTATGGAGTCTGGAGAAAAGACATGACATTTACGAATCTACCAGGCCTGTAGGGGCAGAGGCCTGCAATTAAACAGATTAAATCTTGGTTCCAAAGTTTTATTGCTAATTCCCTGCAGGGATGGTGGGTGTGGTAGGTGGGGAGACAAATAGGGGTTAAATGGCATCACTTTCAAGTGGGGTCGGCCATATTTGATCTGCATACCAGTTATTCTGTGGATCATCTGTTCTGAATACGGCCTTAGACTGGTTAATAAATAACATTCTTTGTTTGTTTTAGCATCTATGTTGTCCCAAAGTCTCCTACCCCCAATGTTTGTGAATAAAAAAGGTACAATGGATGCATTCCAGGTCACACATCTTACCTAACCCAGAAAACCTTCCCTAACCCAATATAAACAATAAGATCAAATCCTCCAAAAACCAAAAGAATTTTTGTAGTGTACTTATTATTGCTCTCAACTTATTTAAGTCCTGCTAAAAAATATTGAGACATCCAATCTATATTTCAGAGAAAGTTTATTTCTTTACCACAAATATTCAACCACAATTTACTTTAAAACATGCTCCTGATGTCAATGAGCTCTTTATTTGTACCAAGGAGAGTAAACAGTAGTTCAGAAAAAAAAAGGAAATTTGCTACTAGGACCCATACCCCTTTTAAAATCAGATCTGAAAATGTTTAAAAATTATTTTTAATTCTTTGACAACAAATTGGTAGACAATCCACATATTTGTATTAAGCTCTATCAGTTACCGTAGCTATGTTTGACACCATTTGTCAATCTTTTGTCAGTTCAATAACTCAATTTAATACCTTCACAATTCCCTACAATATCAGAAATCGTGATTCATTGTTTGTTTGATATAGATCTCCTAATGCGAAGAATAGGTTGAAATGTGATGTATTTACCTATCAGCTATGGGTTCAATCAAATTATAGAAATAAATATTAATGAAAAACTAGTGGATCAAAATAAGTATGTTTTCCACATACTAAATAACACCATTAATAAAAAAAAAAATCATAAAAGAAATTTTCCGTTGTATTGATGTTGTGCTGAACCAAGCTCTATAATATGACAGTGTCAGGTCATAGACCAGTGGGTTCAATACCCACATAAAATACATTCACAAGTCACCGATATTTCATAACAGATCTGTGAGGTATGACTCACTGCATAATACACATTAGCTGTAACATTAGAAATCTACTGAGGTGAGGTTACTAACGTGACTGCTAATTTAAAGTAGATTTCAAGTGTCACATCATTTTAGCAGTCTGCCATGTTAAGCACTGTCCTAGACTGTCAATGCCAGTAAAAATCAGACCAGGACAGTGAATTTTCTGAAAAACAATTACTGACCCAACCAGGCCAGTGGATTTTTTTCAGCTGTAACATGCACTCCAGTTCCTTTTATAAATGTTCAGGCTAAATGTTAAAGTCTTTTTTATAATAACCTCTTGAAAACCTCATGTTTTTGTTCTTATCTGTAATAGGAAGCCTGTTTGATATCAATGTGTTAATTTAAGTATTTTTTTTTTAATTTTTAAACTGGACTTGGTCCAGTAAATTTTGATTTAAGCCAGTAGATCCTTAGACTATGGTGGCCAGATGGCAACCGACCCGAGTTCAAAAGTCTTTGGCACAAACTGTTTAGGGCTACATTTACCACCATTTCAACTCAGTTTGGAGAGAGACCATGTCTATCTTCACATCCAGTCATCAACTTCAGCAAGACAGGTGTTGTATCACACTTGATGAGATTGACAACTTAATAGCATGGCTATTACACAAGAGACTCACCTAGATCATAGCCACGGGGGTGCGGGTGGGGGTGCACAATGACATATACCCCCTTCTCACCCCTCCCTACCATTTAATGGTTATATCTGCCTATAATATATAACAGTGATGTAACATGAGCTGTATCCACTAATATGGCTTACACTATTATATATTATATATTATGATGTGTACACGGGTGACAAGTGGGTTATAGAGTTATTACAAAGCTTTAATGTCAAGCACTGACTGGCAGCAATATGTTAACTAAATGGGTGCGCTTCGCTATGCCGAAGGTTCGCTATGCCGAAGGTTCGCTGTGCCGAGGGTTCACTATGCCGAAGGTTCGCTGTGCCGAGGGTTCGCTATGCCGAAGGTTCGTTATGCCGAGGGTTCGCTGAGCCGAAGGTTCGCTATACCGAGGGTTCGCTATGCCGATTGTTTTTAAAAAGATGTTAATTTTACACACACCCAATAACTACAACAAGTTCGCCAAAAATAATTAGAGAATGTTTTCTTGTCAGTAATTTCCTAAATGTGGGTGACGCCCATAGTGCCAAAAATAATTAATAAATTAACTTACAGAACTGATTATTTAAAGCGATTTAAGATGTTTATGTCCATAAGGATAAACCTTCAATGCGTAGTTTTAACAAATTCAAATGGTACGGATGGAAGAAGAGAACTTTTAAAACTCGTTTATTTTCAAGAAAGGCCACTGCTCGCCACGTTACATAACAAGCACAATGGGTGATGGGTAGCCTTTTTCGGCGCAGCGAACCCTCGGCACAGCGAACCATCGGCATAGCGAACCTTTGATTTTGGGGCTCCGGAAAAACTTAGCCAATTTTAGACCAATTTTCCGGTTTTGTCGGCACAGTGAACCCTCGGCACAGCGAACCTTCGGCACAGCGCGCTGTCCCCAACTAAATATCATAATCATTTCTATACACACCAGGCACTGCTGATATCATTATACCATGACTTGAGACTAAACAATAGCTTTATTTGCCCTCTTAACTTGTACTACAACATTACAACATCCTACGAGTCTGAATCAATGCATGAGACAAAAAATATCTTGAAGCCCTTGGAAGCAGCTGTCATAAATATCTAAACAGTTCCAAAGGGTCTTGGGGTTCACTTTTCTTTTTTTTTTTTTTTTTATTTTTTATTTTATTTTATTTTATTTTTTTTGTGGGGGGGGGGGGGGTGGAGGTGGTTGGGGGGCTCTCTCTCAGAGGTCAAAAACTCTCACAGTACAGCAATGGACACTGAATTACCCAGAGGAATTTCTGTGAATATCTGGTTAAATACATGTACATTCTCCCTGTGACCCTTGGGGGGGGGGGGGGGGGGAGGGGTCAGATAAAATAAAGTTTACCAGCCACTGTACCACCCTCCCCCCAGAGGCAACTCCATATTGAAGGATACAGAGGAAACACTGGTCCTGAAGTTCTTTCCACATCAGTTTTCCTGTTTTTTCGTACATCCAACTTGTACACATTAATAAAGCTGCTTCACAGGATTCTCCACAGAAATGCTGCAGGCAATAATCTTAAGCCACAGAAACTCACTGGCAGACAGCATTTTGCCTGTTTAGGATTAATTTGTATGCAAGTAAGTTACCTGGCTCTATGCAAGTAGAAATCTGCCAGGAAGAATCCATTACCTCAGCATATTCAATATTTCAGTAAGTCATAGTGAAACTCAGTGGGTGCAGCAACCTAATGGAACTCTGTTCTTTATTATGGCATAGTATAATAAAGTGTGTAGCTGCTTAGGGTGGGTCTTCTTTTTTCTTTATGATCTACTTAACTGCCTGTAACAAGCTGGCACTGATGGTATACTCCAATAACATTAGGGAAGTTACCAGTTAGCCCAAGTCTTACTAAAACGATGATATTGCTGTCAATTACCATTAATATAAAAGTATTTTAATGACTTTCTATATGATATAATTTCTTTTTAAAGATATCAAGGTGAAGTCAAGACATAAATCAACTTTTCTCATATAGCAACTAGGATCTAGATACTGTGAACAATTTACATGCAAACCTATACATAATACAGGTAGACCTAAGAATTATCTAATAATAACAGATATTACTGAATGTTAATAACTGCATGGGATTGTTATCAACACTATCTCTCCTGCATACATTGTGTTAATTAAGTGATCTTTTCTGAGATGCCACGGGTAAATTATTAAAACATTATCATTTTTATTAGATACATCAAACCTATAATCTGTAAATACTGTGTAGGCTTATTACTTAGTCATCAAATAATGTACTAAGTAGCATTGTATTACTGGATCATTTTGAGTCACCCAATGCAGTAACAAAATGTCATTTTAACATCCTAGCATTGTAGAAAAATTGCCAAGTTTGTTTTTTCTTCCTTTTCAACAATGATGTAACAAAAATCAGGGGTCCATATCAGCTGTTCGTGTTGGTTTCAGAAAGTCGCATGACTTGGTCTATTAATAAACCACTTCAGTGAAACCGTTACTTCCTACTTCCTGCATGCCCACCCCCCCTCCCAACGTCCCCTTCATGAAAACCACAATTAATTCTAATGTGAAACACGTACCAAAAGTCACCAATAATTCATCTAATGTGGACAATTGTGTTACTTTAATCTATCACATAGCCGAAGAACGCTGGGGTAGAGGAAACTCGAAACTACGCCACGACAGTTCACATTCAGCTCACAACAGTAAATGAATGGTATGCGAAAGGGTGACCGAAAACATCGTCCCCAATATCTCTCGTCGAGAAAGAAACCTACAAATATTTACACTTACCAACGCCGTACTTCTTCTCCTTTGGCGTTTGAGTCCACATTTTATCCTCACTAGGCTTGGTCTAAGATAATAATACACAGTTTCCGCAACATCGCGTTTTGTTGCCTTCACACTTCCTCCATGTTGTTTTGGTCATGTGACCAGCGCGGATTTCCCTACGGCAGTGCAGCCACGCGGAAGTTTTCAATTGTGTAGTAATCGGCACTAATGAGGTTGATTTTTTGTATAGTTGTGATTATTGTTAAATTAACGATTGGAGTTATTGAAAAGTGCTGATATCGTCAAGATAGAACAGCTGCGTGCGTCGTTTGCAACACAGTTTTTTCCACTATGTAACAAGTTCGCGTTTTATATCACAAAGATGTCTGCGCCCATGTTGAAAACATTGCAAAATACGGAGTGAAATTATTTTCGGGTTACACACCGTTTGGCTGTTAGAATAGCAATTTAGTTTAGGGTAAATGGAAAATGCATCATGTTATATGAGAATGTTTTGTCTTAACAAATTTTTTTGTCGAGAAACTAGCAAATAACTTGTGCTGCTCATCGTTGAGATACGTTTTTGAATTTGAGAAAGAGCCAAGGAATGTCCCTTATAGTTGTTGAACCGTTCCGGTAGATATACATTCGTTGGATTTTAGAATATATTTGGATAATTTGAAGTAAGATCAAAATTGTAAAAAGACAACAAAACAGTGGTATACACGTAGTTGTACACTTTTTGAAGATATACTCGATCGGTACTGGTATATCTTGATCATTAAAATGAATTATTAAGAATAATCTAGGCAGGAAGGTCCTAGAAAAACACCTTTTCACCATAAAAAGTTCTGCTTTTACTCAAAATCATTTCTCAGTGAGTTAGCAAAGGTGCACTTTTCATTACAAATTAAAAGACCCCACTCCCTTTAAAATTACATGACTACAGGACTAAAACTTAACGTATGTGTCATCATTTCAGGTCCTGTTCATTTCTCAATCATGCCACCATGACAGAGTCCCACAGTGCAGAGAGCCCCTTCCTACAGCCTCTGAGTTTTGCTTCAGAAGAAGAAACTTCTGAAAACAAGACGACTCAACTTCCAGAAAGAACCAAGGAAACTGATGAAGTGATTGTCCAGTGTTTCTTCTGTCAGTTGACATTTAACTGCAGTAGAATGAAAGACGAACTCCTAAAACACTTGGTTGAAGAGCATAAATTTGTGATTGGTGATGTGAAATTGATTGCTGATTTTAAACAGTAAGTTGCATTGCGTGTGTTACCTTATTTTTTCCTACTATAATTTTTAATTAGTTTTTTTAGTTGTGCATACATGTATATCCAAACAAAAGTCAACCTCTATTTAGTGTCTGAGTATTTGAAATATATTATTTTGCTTTCTATGGATGACAATGAAATTTTTATGTTTAAGATTCCCCATAGTAAAAAAAATTAATATTAGATATAATACTGTATTCATATGAATTGGATATCAAATATTGTATATTTTGGTATTTGATTAATGTAATTATAACTCAGATATGCAGAGTATTGGAGAGGGAGGTTCAAGGAACAGCCTTTGGAAGACTTTTGTAGTGTTATCAACACGAATACAAAGGAGACCGATATTGGTAATGTATTCTTATTTTTCTTACCTCCAAGGCTAGAATGATATATTTTGACCTTAATCCTGTAAAACATTGTTTATTTTGGATTTTTCTTCTGCATTTACAATTCTCAGTGTGACTTATATAATTGGCTTTCAAATGATATGCCATGGAGGATAATAGATTTGAATATTTACATTGTAAGGTCCCAAGGAATCCTACTACCTACTATGTGATTTGCTGCCAGAAGATAAACAGCTGAGACAGAAGATTCAGAGAGAAAAATTGGTGAGGATATGTCAACAGTTGATCTCTCTGTTTCTTTTTCCCCCTCCCCCTTCCTCTCTCCCTACTGTATCGCTCGCTCGCTCTCTCTCTCTCTCTCTCTCTCTCTCTCTCTCTCTCTCTCTCTCTCTCTCTCTCTCTCTCTCTCTCTCTCTCTCTCTGAGTCTTTTGTTGTTTTCAACATTATGTTTTGCTTAAATAATAGTAATGCAGATAAGGAAGGATAAAGGCAGATAACTTTTTAAAAAATCAGTGGCATTCTATTTGGTGATACGGTTACTTTACATGTAGGTGCTTGTATTAGAACAGCAGCAGAGGGAGAGAGACGACACAACTTTCTCCAGAATGTGTTTATTCTGCAGGGAGCTTTTTCATGGAAACAGGTATAAGAAAAATATCAGTCTTCAAAAATATCATGAAAAATTTCCATAATTTCCATTAACCTCACACAGACACAACATGGCTGCTTGCAGTGTCACTATGACTGCATTCCCACAGATTTAGATTGATCCATGTGGATCGACCTAACCCCCTGGGGGTTCTCGCTAAGTTGCTGTCAGCCGAGCACGCACTGTAGTTAATTACCCCCTTACAGCTGGACAGACATTTAAACCGGTTTAGCTGACACCAATCTAGTGAGACTCCCCAGGGGGATAGATCGATCTAAAAATCTGTGGGAATGCAGTGTAAGTGCTCTGATCATACTGGTATCTGTGTGGTTAATATTGTCAGTGGATCATTCCACAAAAAGTGATTCTCTCAGTGACTCTCACATTATATTAGCATAATTCTGACAAGTTGCTCTGTTATCTTTTCTGTTTTATACTATAATGCCCTCCAATATAGAAATAAATCAAGAGTAATTAAATAGGGGTATAAAACAGATATGCCCATATTACACTAAATATGTGGCACTGACTTGTTCATTATAGTGAAGGAAGAGATGAAAAAGCTAGAATATCAGAAAGGGAAAAATGGGGGATTTTCTTGAGAAAAATTATTACAATGCCTATATTCTGTATTTCAGATCAGAACTCTTCAATCACATGAACTCTGAGCACAATTTCAATGTAGGACTTCCAGACAACTTGGGTAATGTTGGCAATATTATATGTGCATGCTGTACACTAGTTTGTGTTGACTAAAATGGTGACTCTATCTTTGTGTGGGTGTGGGCTTTTATGTCACATATTTAAACTGACTGGAGAGCATGTAACAAGGTCTGCTGTTTTGTAAGTTGATTTCTGATAATGGAGATGATATTATAAATGTTTTTATCAGTTATGACTTTCTTAATTTAGATATTTATCTGAACTTGCTGACATTTTCAAGTGCTGATTAAAACAAATATTATGTTGTTAGTTTTACAAACAGTGCATAGATTGGGTAGTTATGATATTGCAAGTCAATTTTTTTGTCATCTTCAGTAAACACAGATGAATTCCTGGATTTACTGCAGGAGAAGCTTGACAAGTAAGACAAAAGATGTAAAGATAGTTGAAATATTATCAAATATATGGATGTTAAAACAATCACCTGTTCAGAAGTAAAAAGGTTAAAACAACAGTGCCAATATTGGAAAAAAGTCATTTTTTGACAATTACATTTTCACTTTTTCTGAGTTTTTTTTAGCTTAAGATAATCATAATCATGTAAGTTTCTGGAACTTTTTTCCCAGCCTTCAGTGTCTGTACTGTGAGAAGAATTTCAAGGACCGCATGACCCTCAAAGAACACATGAGGAAAAAGCAGCACAAAAGAATCAAGCCACAAAATCCTACCTATGACAAATTCTATGTCATCAATTATCTGGTAATTTTATTTACATTGTTGAATTAGAAGTTGTATAAACTTGCTTTAATTTGTGAGTTCCAGTAGATCACAGAGAAACAATAGTATTTTTCATGTCCCTCAATTTGCAATGCAGTTGTGATATTTTTGACAGAAGTTGCAGACAGAAGTTGATTCAGATTGAAAAAAAATGTGCTGGTTTATATTTACGTTGGCAGTTCTCTATAAGGGCATTAGAAGTCAGTTTATGTGTGCAAAACTGCAGAACGCAAAGCATTTTTTATTTATTTTAACTTTCCACTAATGTAGTATAGGTAATGCAGTTGTTTGAGTTTGATGGTAGATTTACTGGTCAGTCTTAGACAAGTGTCTACTCTTCTAGTCACTCCAAGACTACTGTCAAAGCTACTAGTCAGTCATCAGACCAGTCTCATACTCTGCTAGTCAATCCTCAGACTAAGCAGATGACTCACCATAAATATGTCATATCAAGTCACATACTGTACCTAAATATGAAATGTAGGATTTGTATGATTTNCCCATGGAACCCCAAAAAGTCATTTTTCAGATCCATGCAGACCTGCATTAAAAATGGAGAGGGGGAGGGGGGGGCATACCATATTTTCAGACTTTTTCATTTCTGCTTGTTGTCTACATTTCAGAGAGTGGACAGGCTGGACCGATGACACTGGAGCCAGGGCTGTCTGTCTGTTCTGTTGCCATGGTGATACTGACATGGACCGCCTCCTAGAACACATGAAGGTACAGTACAGGGAGAAAGTGCAGTGCACTTACTTTTAAATTGTCTTCAGTACCACTGTACACAGATATTGTTTTTGTAATTGATGAAAAAGATGGACCTTAACAATATGATGCTAAAATTATGCTTCCTTTACTTTGAAGATGTTAATTTATTGGAGGAAGACTTTTTGTATTTTAAGGTGGTTCATGGATTTGACCTAAAAACTGTCAGGCAAGCAAAGAGGTTGAACTTTTATCAACAGGTCAAACTGATTAACTACATCAGGAGACAGGTAAATTGCATTTTACAAAATACACTGTAGAAGTGTTGAATATTTCATATCTTTACACAAAGCTATAATTTGTTGTTTTACAATTGAAGTCTCAATTTGAATACTCTCTTGGACCTTAAATAGTACGGAATACAATGTGACCTATCCTAGTCCGTGTTTGTTTTGCTTAGATGCACCAGAACTGCTGCATTCTCTGCTGTGAAAAGTTTGAAGCAAGAGAAGATCTGATTAGACATTACACACACTCTGGTCATGTGACTCAGTTCCCAGAATCCTCAGACTGGGACCAGCCCCAGTAAGTGGGGTATTATCTGTTACCTCAAGTTCTGTTATATAATATAAACATTTTGATGAAAAATTCTCAATGTATATAAATATGAAAGCAGTTTCAAATTTTATATCAAGTCACTGGTATCAGATATCAAGCATATCAGGTATTTGTTCATGTTTTTATTTTATCAACATATTTTTATTACGTATTAGTTTGGCTAAACTACATTAATCAGTCTATATCTACATACACGTAGTAGGTATATTTATTGATATAATTGCAAAATGTTTTTACGACTCAGGTATTTCTTCCCAACTTTTGAAAATGACAACCTACTTTGCGGGCTGGAGGATGACAGAGAGGATGATGGGAATGAAAGAGGGGGTGATGGGATAGCTGCTGACAAGGACTGCAACGTTGTGATAGCAGAAGACACCCAAGTGCCAACTGAGTCAATTTTAAAAGAGGGAACTGTTTTACAAGAGCTCATAAGATCCTGAGACTAATTTGAACCTTATGTGTACCCACACTCTGTGGTACTAATATACTATGCAAATTTTCAGGGTTAGAGATCAGGCGTCATCATGCATACTTAGACAAAAATGACAATTATATACTTTTTGCATGCAGATTAATTAGCTTTACAACACATGCCTTTAGAGACAGACAGTATCAAACCCAAAAAGATGACTCTCCAGAGAAGACTTGTGTAAGTTATCTCACAACAAAAACTCGTTTGTGAGGTTTTGAGTGGAGTTCTCTATTCCTTGAAACAACCTACTAGAACCAGTCTTATATACCTGAGACCGGCATTACCTGCAAGTTACAGATAGAAAGTGATAAAGCAATTATTAAAAAAATAGCAGAAAAAGTCATATCATGAAAGAGTCATCAACAAATGGCCCATACTTACCCCATTGATTTCACAATATCCTAGGACAGATGCATGTACCAAGATTAAAGTTTGATGTATTTAATATCATAATCTTAAGCCTTAATTTTGTGTTGGGGTTAAACTATCTTTCATGGCATTCCTAGGTTCCGTTACATGAAGGTCCTTGGGATTTGTAAAGACACTATATTCTAAACTTATTATGGCAGTTAAGCCTGGATTATGTACAATAACATCTGAAACACTCTCTTTCTCTGCAGTACTAAAAAATATTCTGATTTGAGAAGTCAAGTACAATACATATCTTTTCTCTTAGAGTTAACTGTTAGTTTATTGCTGTTTAACTGGTTGTTTAGAATTCGACAGTGTTCATGCCACATCAGTGGCAGCTTTGAACCATTCAGTTACAATGCATGTCTTAAACATATTGTCATTTCATTTCTCATTCAATGTTACTTAGACCCCATTCCCAGAGATTAGATCGATCCAAACTTATGAGCTCCCTGGGGGTTCACGCTAAATAGCTGTCAGCCGAGCGGGCGCAAAAGTTAATTACCCCCTTACAGCTTGTAGTAGGCGGGACGGACATTTAAGCCGGATTATCTGACAGTAATCTAGTGAGACTCCCTACGGGGATAGATCGATCTAAAATCTTTGGGAATACGCCCTTAAAGTGATTCCACTCTAGACAGAAACATGAAAATTGCGACAAAATAATGGTACCATTAACCTTAAAACTAACTATTCTATTTCAATATTGCACAACACGGTTATAAGTTGTCGTTCACTAGTCTGCTGGAGAGGTGAGCCAAAAATAGACGCAGAGACATCAGCCACGTAATAGTTACTGAAAACTGGAACATCAGGGGCGGATTTAGGCTGTCTTCTGGAAGACGGTCAGATTTTCAAGTTTACATTGTCAGCCATCGAATGTTTTCTGTCGGAAGACGGTCAAAAATGGAAGATGGATCAACAAAGATAAGTTGGAAGACTGTCAGAAAATATCTCTGGATCCGCCCCTGAACATGGTGAGTCAACAGTAAATACGTCAAGTAAAGCCTAGGTCACAACTACGTTTTGGACGCACGGTTTTAAGTTCCTTGCGTCCGGCTAGGACGTAGCTAGATCGCACGTAGCGGCTGTTGATCTTGTCGAAAAGTTTCTACGTGCTGTTTGCGTCCTCCAAAAGTCGCACGATGGACGTGCTCCTCACGCGCGAACTCCCACCTTTTCCCTTTTTTTTTTGTCCGTAGACCACACGTAGCAGCCCGTACGTTCGGTTGGAACCTAGGCTTAAACAAGTGTCTGGGTCTTAATTTTGTGTTGGGGTTAAACTATCTTTCATGGCATTCCTAGGTTCCGTTACATGAAGGTCCTTGGGATTTGTAAAGACACTATATCCTAAACTTATTATGGCAGTTAAGCCTGGATTATGTACAATATCATCTGAAACACTCTCTTTCTCTGCAGTACTAAAAAAATATTCTGATTTGAGAAGTCAAGTACAATACATATCTTTTCTCTTAGAGTTAACTGTTAGTTTATTGCTGTTTAACTGGTTGTTTAGAATTCGACAGTGTTCATGCCACATCAGTGGCAGCTTTGAACCATTCAGTTACAATGCATGTCTTAAACATATTGTCATTTCATTTCTCATTCAATGTTACTTAGACCCCATTCCCAGAGATTAGATCGATCCAAACTTACGAGCTCCCTGGGGGTTCACGCTAAATAGCTGTCGGTTGGAACCTAGGCTTAAACAAGTGTCTGGGTCTTGAAACAGAAAGTTTTAACATAGCTTTGCAAAAATATACCCTGCATATATCTCTTGCATTAAGGTTACTCCGGTCCTTTAAGGAATTCAATCTCTTTTTTTTTCTACGTGTTTTACTACGCATCGGTAAAAGTGGAGCCGAGAGAAAAAGCTATGTGCGCCGTCTACACATGATGAGCCAAATATGGCAGTGTGGTTCGCGGTGAAAACCGAGAATTTGCCAGTGAGCAGTGGTACAAAACACACCGATATTTTGGTCGAAACACGAACGCCAGCATCGTGGCTAAAGGGAGGAAGATCCTACTGTTTTTTAAGACTGGTACGGCATCGATGTGGTCGTTGGTGACGATACCTTGTCAGCATGGGTGTCTGCAGGGGGTGGGGGAGGTCAATGGGGTTACTTGCCCCCCCCCCCCCGGAATTTTGGCGGGCACGTTAATTGAGGTTACCCAGCCAATTATTATCTCCCCCTTCAATGACTTTTGTCGATCCCCTTGGGTCAACATACTAATCTGACCTGGTATGACGTCACACAAGGACATATGATGTCGTCAACCACCACGTCATTAGTCTGACCAGACCAGAGTTGGGTGAAGGCGTAGGGCGCGGAATCTCTTCTCAATCCATGCGTCCAAACGAGACTGAATGATGGTCGGGTGGCGATAGCCTTCTACTGTGACAGTTTAGATTATCGTTTGCCATAGATCAGCTTTTCGTTAATTCAAACATTTTTTTTTCGGGGTAATATAAACACATACAGGCCTTTTTTTGCTTGGTTTTAAGGTTTAAATTTTAACAAATAGGTATAATTGTAAGGAGTGGGCAAGGGAAATATGGCAAGGACAAAAATCTGTTGAAGGAAAACACTGGCTCTGTTTGTCAATGAGAGAGAGAGAAGAGAGAGAAAGAGAGCTTGTCCTCTGTTCATTCTTCATTACCGATGCTTAGGCAAAAGAACCATCAACTACGGAGCAAGCAAGTAAGACGATGAATGTAGGAATTGAATCTGGTACAAAAAATTAAGTATTTGAATGCAGCGTTAAGAATCCAATTCAGTCGTTTTTTATATAAGCAACGTAACTGTTTCAGACACAATCTGGTCTAAGTCATTGCATATTATGTTTCGTTCAAAAAAAGCTGTCACCCGTGTTAAAAGGAAGGACGGATCTGAGGCACGGGAATATAGGAAGAAGCTGATATATCTAACAGATATCGCGTCTCAGCTGACACCGGTGAATAAGCGTCAGTATATAGATAATGCCAGCATCCATTAATGCAGTAGAAGCTTTTGTGCGGGCGACTCACTGGTTCAGGTGATATTTTAAGCACCATTTCCTAATGTTACTGGGTCTGGGCTAGCTAGACAGGCCAGAGTTTCTGAAAGAGAAAACAAAGAGAACATTTGAATCGAATCTTTTCATATAATCTGTCAGGTTGCTGAAGGCGTCAAGGCAATCAAGATAAATGTAGGAATTAAATCTATTATAAAAAGAGAAAAAGCACTGTGGGTTTCAAATACTTGATGATCAGAGAAAATTAGAAAACGTGTATATCAAACCCCAGTTTAGCATCTGCGTACGTCTGCCTACATATGATTTCAAAGATTCATGTTTTCGTGTTTAAGTCTCTCTCTCTCTCTCTCTCTCTCTCTCTNTTTATAAAGACTGGTACGGCATCGACGTGGTCGTTGGTGACGATACCTTGTCAGCATGGGTGTCTGCAGGGGGTGGGGGAGGTCAATGGGGTTACTTGCCCCCCCCCCCCCCGGAATTTTGGCGGGCACGTTAATTGAGGTTACCCAGCCAATTATTATCTCCCCCTTCAATGACTTTTGTCGATCCCCTTGGGTCAACATACTAATCTGACCTGGTATGACGTCACACAAGGACATATGATGTCGTCAACCACCACGTCATTAGTCTGACCAGACCAGAGTTGGGTGAAGGCGTAGGGCGCGGAATCTCTTCTCAATCCATGCGTCCAAACGAGACTGAATGATGGTCGGATGGCGATAGCCTTCTACTGTGACAGTGTAGATTATCGTTTGCCATAGATCAGCTTTTCGTTAATTCAACAGGTTTTTCCGGGATAATATAAACACATACAGGCCTTTTTTGCTTGGTTTTAAGGTTTAAATTTAAACAAATAGGGATAATTGTAAGGAGTGGGCAAGGGAAATATGGCAAGGACAAAAATCTGTTAAAGGAAAACACTGGCTCTGTTTGTCAATGAGAGAGAGAGAAGAGAGAGAAAGAGAGCTTGTCCTCTGTTCATTCTTCATTACCGATGCTTAGGCAAAAGAACCATCAACTACGGAGCAAGCAAGTAAGACGATGAATGTAGGAATTGAATCTGGTACAAAACCTAACCATAAACTACGGAGCAAGCAAGTAAGACGATGAATGTAGGAATTGAATCTGGTACAAAAAATTAAGTATTTGAATGCAGCGTGAAGAATCCAATTCAATCGTTTTTTATATAAGCAACGTAACTGTTTCAGACACAATCTGGTCTACGTCATTGCATATTATGTTTCGTTCAAAAAATGCTGTCACCCCTGTTAAAAGGAAGGACGGATCTGAGGCACGGGAATATAGGAAGAAGCTGATATATCTAACAGATATCGCGTCTCAGCTAACACCGGTGAATAAGCGTCAGTATATAGATAATGCCAGCATCCATTAATGCAGTAAAAGCTTTTGTGCGGGCGACTCACTGATTCAGGTGATCTTAACTTGACTAACACGGTGAGAGTAGATAGAAATAATTTCTGTCGAATTTAGAATGTGCACCATATATAGCGTGACGAAAAAGAACAGACTTTGTGAGCAGAAAGGTGTTATTTTAAGCACCATTTCCTAATGTTACTGGGTCTGGGCTAGCTAGACAGGCCAGAGTTTCTGAAAGAGAAAACAAAGAGAACATTTGAATCGAATCTTTTCATATAATCTGTCAGGTTGCTGAAGGCGTCAAGGCAACCAAGATAATTGTAGGAATTAAATCTATTACAAAAAGAGAAAAAGCACTGTGGGTTTCAAATACTTGATGATCAGAGAAAATTAGAAAACGTGTATATCAAACCCCAGTTTAGCATCTGCGTACGTCTGCCTACATATGATTTCAAAGATTCATGTTTTCGTGTTTAAGTCTNTTTTTTTTTTTTTTTTTTTTTTTAATTTTTTATTTTTTTACTGAACCGGGTACAGGTCTTGTTCGGCTAATGTTTTTCAAAGACTTTTAAAATTATCCCTTGAAATATTTTAAAGGGTAAATGAAACAATCCGTACCACGACGTTGGAGCCAAAACTGTTGAATATCGATAATTGCGTTGTAAAATTAAAATAACAAAAGATAGTCGATAGATATCTTGAGAGACGAATCGAATTTGTTTACGTTAAACAGCATGGACGTGATACAATCTTTATCGGAATCGACAACATTCGTTGGTCTTCTCTTTGATGATCGTCTACCTTTCCGAAAGATACCAACCTATATGGAATTAGAGCTTCAATAAGCCATTGGTATTTTTCATAATAAAAAAAATATATATATTTGACTATTTAGCTGCTAATTTGCTGATGATACTAACCCTATATAAAAAAATGTTTTGGGTGTCTTGGAACTAAATTTAAATCTTTACGTAAATTTGCAGAAACATAGCCTACATATATCTCGTGGATACTGTATTAAGGTGACTCCGTTTCTTTTTCTTTTTTTAATTTTATTTATTTACTTTATTTATTCATCTATTTATTTATTTATTTATTTATTTATTTATTTATTGTTAAGGTATCGCATCTCTTTTCCCTCCTGTGTTTCTTGGCATTGCCAATGGTGGTGGCGGGGGAAAAATTGTGCATCGTCTACACTATGGCTAGCCATGGCAGCAACGATGGCATTCCGAGCCAAGGATTTGACAGCGAGAAGTGGTACAAAGTACATCGATTATTTGATCGACACACGAACGCCAGCATCGCAGCTGAAGGGAGGAAGTTCCTACAGTTTTTTAGCGAGTGGTACGGCATCAGTTTGGACGTCGGTAACGATACACTGTCAGGGGCTGATCCAACCACTGTATGTCGAGGCAT